ACTGTATGTTTATTTTTTACTATTAAGATAATTATTGAACAATTTTGTGATGATATTGTACGATTTTAAGAGTAAACAGATCTCATATAATATTTGAATAAACAGCTCCAGTCCACAGAATCAATATGAAGCAATCAATAATAGATTCATACAACCTCCTTTAAACACTATTAGATTTCTCTCCCCCCCTCCATTTGTACATGCTTGCCAATGTCAATGTGGCTGATGATAATATTGTCCCCTCTTTTATAATTCATTATCTGTATTGCTACGCCACTTGATTTCTGGGTGAGTTTTACTCTATATAGTCTATGGTGTTGTACTACTTGGATTTATACTGCTTAGTTTTGTTTTAGAAGAAAAAAAAAAGGAAATTTGCTTTATTTTAATATTTATATGAAGGGTCTATTGGTAGTTCTATATAATTAAATTTGATAAATTATGGTTGCCGTAGCCGGGGAGGGGGGGGGGGGGTAGTGGCGTTGATTGTGATAACTAGCGGATCCCGGATAGCGCCTACCCGCCGTCGCCGTGTAACTGGGTATTTGACTCAATTTGAGACATATGATTTGCTTGTGACTTCATATAATATAAACATTAAATATGAAAATATGATTAAATTCATTAATTTTAAACAAAAAGAAAAAAAAAATATATATTTCCTCAATGATACTGATACATTTATAATTTATACATTGCAAGGCCGCAAGGCACTCATCAAACGTCGTCGTACGCATCTCTCCAAATCAGTAGTAACTGCATCTTTATAAATTTATAATAATTAACGAACAGCTGACTTACCTTCTCCCTCGTATAAAAAAAAAAATTTTTTTTTTTTTTTTTTTTTTTGAATTATCCGCCCATAAATGCAATGGATAGATGTACACTTTTTTAGAATACCACACCAGGTAGTTTCCGGTTATTATGGTATCGATTATTGTTATACACAACTACTTTCAAAATATTCATATAATTGTGAGTCTTTATTTCGTAATTATGATAAACTTTTTTTGTTTTGCCTCGAATATTTAATTAACTGCTAAATTATTTGCAATAAATGTTAAAGAATTGTGTACGCATTGTTGGTAAACAGAGAAAATGAATTATAGTGAAGCTGAACGAAGCTAAATACTTTCACAGTATTAAATCAAGTTTTAGTAAAATAAAGTAGGCCCAGTGTCGCTAGTGAGTCTGAAGTATCACTTACCAACAGTTCTTTTACTCGCTAATCGCTGTTATATGTTTTCAATTTCTTTTTGTATGTGGCCCTACTGATAAGCATTTAAATTAATGGGGGCTGCGCAGGTACATGTAGACACTTCGTTATTTTTTGGTGCATTCTCAGAGTTGACAGAGTACATAGGCCCTAAATTTTTTAGAAATTTATAAGCCTGGACCTGCTCTAAGTCTAAGTTTATTTAAAAACAAAAGACCCGAAGAAGAAAAAAAACGTGCCCTATCTCGTCTAATTTTTAAAAAATATCTTTTATAGTAAGCATGGAGTTGTCTTTCTAATTTTTAGCTGCCGCTATTCGCTATCTCCCAAACCTTTGGCGTAGGGGTTAGTCACGGTTAGACCCAGTTCTAATCACTAGGTGACTATGACTAGGCCTAAATTAGTTATTATTTATAAATAAATATAAATTGATTAAATTATATTATTTAAATAGTGGAAATGGTAAATAATTTTTAAAAAATTAATGCAAGCCTACTAACTAACTAATGTGTAACTGTAGACTAGCAGAGCCAATGGTTGCATGACTTTTGGAGGCCCCTTCCAATTTTATGTCTCCCCAGTCCTGCATTCAAAAAACAAAGTTGATAGTGTAATTTTGTTTACATCACAATAGAATAGGCCCCTTAAACATCCCAGGCCCCCTGCAGCTGCATGCAGGGCATGCATGGCTCTAGAATACTTCTTGTAGGCTAGATGGTTCCCCAAATGGTGACCTGCAACTGCAAGCCTTATGCTGCTTGTACGCTCAACTTTAGGCAAGTAACTGGGGGGGGGGGGGGTTTACACATTTTTGGGTATTATTTCAAAAAAAATTTCAAAAATCGATATTGTTTTTAGCATAAAAATACACCGCCCACGTTTTAA